TCATGAGGTTATTGAGACAATGATAAGAGATACTGTGTGTAGAATGGCCAAAATTATGATTGGCCTAGAGTTATGCTCAAGAAATGGTTGCCAATATTAGGGCAAATAGCGTAGCATGGTGGTTCAACACTTTATATCTGGGGTCAGGGGGATCAGAGTTCAGATATAAATATGTTTCTAGCTTTGAAAAAGAAGTCAAAATACTTAATGTTTCTAAACTTCAATTTTCTCATCTGTAAAATAAAGATAGGAGTCCCTGGGTGATGCAAATGGTTAAGCATTTGACTACTAGCTGAAAGGTTGGCAACTCAAACCCACCTAGAAGCAACTCTGAAGACAGGACTGGCTATCTGCCTTGAAAAGCACTTCTACTTTTCACACGTGAGGTCACCATGAGTTGGAATCAATTCAACAACAGCTAACAACAAACCTCAGTTTTATCCTCTATACAACAAAGATAAATATTCTTCTCTCATACTGTTAGTATTAGGTTATTGTTATTAAGTACCATAGAGTCAGTTCTGACTCATAGTGATCCTGTATAGGGTTTCCAAGGAGTGGCTGATGAGTTTGAAACTGACCTTGCAGTCCAGTGCATTACCCTACAACACCACACCAGGACTCCAACTGTGAGGTTAAAATGAAGAAGAAGAAGGAAAAAAAAAAAAAAGACTTTAAAAGACTCAACAGGGTACCAATCTCGAGACAAGAGCTCAATAAATGTTAGTGATAATATTTTGAGACAGTGGACCCAGCAAAGTGGAGAGATTTAAATTTGTTGAGTTCCTTCACTCTCCCCAAAATGTTCAACCTTTGGAATCAAGAGAAAGAGGCATTTGGGGGAAAACTGCAACTTAGCCAGGAAACATCTGATTATCAAAATCATTTCAGGAAAGATTTCCATAAATCATCAAGATACAGAGAGTATAAGGCGATAACAAAGCACAGTTGCACAGAATTTTCCATCAAACTACTAGGTTCAGAACCCAACTTGTCTACTTATTAAACTGAAAACTTTAGACAAGCTAATCTCCCAGAGCTTCACATTCCTCATCAGTAAAAATAAGATCGTTTTCAGCATTAAATAACAAAGCATAAGAAAAGCACTCAAAGTTTTTAGGAAAATGTGCAAGTTCAATATAAGAACATCAAGAAAGTCCATAAAAAAAAAGAAATAAACTTGATTTTCCTGCAAATATATGCAAATCACAAAAAATATAATGTGGTTGGAAAAAGGAAAAACAAAATTGACGCTATAGTAAGATACCATCTATGTAAATTTCAAACCATACCAAAAATACTGTTTTTTTAAAGA